GTCTGCAATCCCCATTTTCGGATACAAAAAAATCCAAGACGCCCGTCTCAGTCAACTTGACTTGAACCGTCTCACCCCCATTCACTTCTTTCACCTTCACAACAACAACAACAACAACACAACCCCAAGCCCGGAATCACACCTGACCCGCGCACGTATCAGGACGAGGAGCAAACTCACACTCATTCAAGAGCCAGGTTTCCCCCAACCTTCACCTACACCCTTCCACCTTCTCGGCCTTTCCTCCAGATTCTTTTTCTTCCTCTCTCAATAACCTCAAGAAAAAGACATCATGAAGTCCTCCTTCGCCGTCACCATGTGGTCGCTGCTGGTCAGCCAGGGTATGGCTCACATGGCCATGACCTACCCTCCTCCCCTGCGCTCCAAGGAGAACCCGTTTTCCACCTCGGCCAACATCGACTACAGCATCACCAGTCCTCTGAGTGCTTCTGGCAGCGACTTCCCGTGCAAGGGCACCCTCAATCTTCTTGGAACTGCGGCTGCCCAGTCGGTCGCTACCTGGCAGGCCGGTCAGCAGTACAACATGACCATCGCCGGTGGTGCCAACCACAACGGCGGTAGCTGCCAGGCTGCTCTCTCTTATGACAAGGGCCAGACCTTCACCGTCATCCACAGCTACATCGGTAACTGCCCTCCCGCTGGCACCTCGTCCTTCAAGTTCACGGTTCCCGCCGACGCTCCTGCCTCCTCGGATGCCCTCTTCGCTTGGACCTGGTTCAACAACGTTGGCAACCGCGAATTGTATGTCCCCCAGTCTTCCCCTCGAGCAATCCTGAGCCTTGCTGACCCTTCGCAGCTACATGAACTGCGCCGTCGTGACCGTCACCGGTGGCAGCAGCGGTGCCTCGAGCAGCGCCACTTCCTCGTTCAGCAGCCGCCCCAAGATCTTCGAGGCCAACATCGGCAATGGCTGCAGCACTGCTGAGGGCTCTGACGTCGCGTTCCCCAATCCCGGCCCGGATGTCGACAACACTTCCAGCAAGACCGCGCCCCCCTCCGGCAACTGCGCTGCCGCTGCTGGCGGTGGCTCCGGAGGTGGCAGCTCTGCCGCCCCTGCCAACCCCGTCGCCTCCAGCGCTCCTGTCGCCAGCAACCCTGTCACTGCACCCTCTTCTCCTGCCGCGGCTCAGCCGAGCGTTGTCGCTCCCGTCTCCTCGGCTATCCAGAGCGCGCCTCAGTTCAGCCTTGCGCCCACCACTGGCGCCGCTGCAGGCTCTCCCGTCGCCACTTCTCTGTAAGTAGCTTTCCTGCTCACCCACTCACTTCTGTAGATCACATTGCTAATCGTCTACAGCCCTGGCGGCGTCTTCATTCCCGTGTCCAGCAGCAGCGTCTCTTGCGACCCTGAGGTGGAGACCAAGACCACCCTCGCTACCATCAGCAGACCGGCTCAGACCAACGCTGCTCCCACGGCTAGCGACATCGTGCCTGTCCCCACCCCCACTGCCCTTCCCTCGGGTGGTGCCAACGCTCCAGGCTCCATGACTCCTGGTCTGGCCTGCACCGATGAGGGTCAGTGGCTCTGCATTGAGGGCACTCACTTCCAGCGATGCGCTTCCGGACGGTGGTCGGTTATCATGAGTATGGCTGCTGGTACCAAATGCCAGTCCGGAACCACTGAGTTCGTCACCTGGGCCAAGAAGAGAAACCACAAGAGAGCCCACATCCGCCGCTTCCGCTCTGGACACATCTGATTCTTCCAAGGGATGCTTCGATGGCAACTAGCACGACAGGCCCTTTGGTCTAGAGTATTATGTCGCTTCCGAAGACCTTTACGTTTTTATGCCCTTTGGATGATCAATCACGTGGGCTACGACATTCTTATGAGAACTGTATGAGATACGCGGGATGGGGGTCAAACATCATAGACATGGGAACAACCTGGTCTGGTTTCGCAATTTCGGCGTTGAGGTTGACATTGAATCTCCAGGACTGGCTCTTGGTTGGCATGGTATGGTTGGCTGGCAGGAAAAATACGTCAGGTAAAACAGATAGCAACGCGCAATTCAACGATCGTTGTAACAGAAGAAAATAGCGATGATGATATGATGCTGTGACGTTGATGTTAAAGTGAAGAGAGTTTTGGGGTCTTCTGCAGGTGGAAAGCGCCTCAACCCCAGGCATTCGCCAGCTGGCGCCAGCTGGCACCAGCTGGCTCAGAGCACAGTGCACCTGCACGCCACCGCAGGCAACATCAGCACCTGTTCCCTTTTGTGGCTGGAGCTTTGAACCTGAGACTTCACATTCAACTAAAAGGCGGCGCTCACTCACGAAGCTCACCAACCAGCGACATAATTATCCAAGAGATCGACTAGGCTTGGGACGGGCAATTGCTGGACAAATTTTGACGACGTCGCGTTGGCCTATGCGGCCGCGCCTGACACATTTGGTCCCTTGTAGCCAGGGTAGCTCTCACTCACGTCGACCGCATCCTCAGAAGGCTGGAGCAGGAAGTGATGACTGGCGAAACACGTTCATGAGGCTTGCTCAATAACCCCAAAAACGCGAATATGGCGATACCATCCGGCAGAGCGTCGTTCAAGAAGAAGGATGGTGTCTTGACGTTGACGCCGGATCAGCAATCCGTCATCTGGACGCCCGCGCCTGGCAATGGCCCGCCCACCGTATCGCTATCGCTTGCCAACATCACGAGTGAGTCTTTAGAGTTCATGAGCCGGCGCCGCTCGCTGACGTGACAACAGACTTGCAACAAACACCAGACACCGCCGCCAAGGTGATGCTCAAGATCTTTGAGAAGCCACCTGACGCCACGGACCAGGTGCCGTACCTCTTCCACTTCACGTCAGAAGAGGCCCGATCCGAGGCGAACGCCATCAAGGACCTCCTTTCAAGACTCCTCGCTGACATACGATCCGGCGACCCCAACCTGCCCAAGCCAGCCGGGACACCAAACCCTCACGCAAATGGTGGGAACTCCACCCCCAATCCTGGGGCAGGCGGCTCAGGCTCCGGCTCCATGGCTTTCGCAAGCTCTGTCAACTCCAAACCCAGCACAGCGCGTTGGTTTGACGACGCCCATCTCAAGGGCGACATCGAGTTACAGCAGTCCCTCATGAAGAAGGACCGGACCCTGCACCAGACGTACATGGACGCCCGCGCCACCAAACCCGAATCCATCTCTGACGCTGCGTTTAACGCGCAGTTCTGGTCCACCCGCACCAACCTCCTCCGGGCTCACGCCATCGAGGTCAACCAGCAAAAAGGAGCCTACAATATCCTGCCCGCCATCAAGCCACGCCTCGAGAACGATGTGCTCAAGCTTGACATCACCGTGGAAATGGTCCAGCTCATTATGGCACAGCACCCGCTCGTCAAGCGTCTGTACGACGAGAACGTGCCCAAGGTGCCCGAGAACGAGTTCTGGTCGCGCTTCTTCCTCAGCAAGCTCTTCCGCACCCTCAAGGGCGACAGAATCTCGGACGAGAAGAAAGAGGGCATCCGCCGCGACGCGCTCTTTGACGCCCACGATGCGAGCGAGAATACGGCCACGTTTCAGCGCAAGAGCATGGCCCAGAGCGTGCCGCACATCATCAACGTCTACGGCAACGAGGAGAACCAGGGCGGCTTCCGCAGCGGAAACCAAAAGGACGTTGAGATGCGTCCCCGCAAAAACGTGCCCATCGTCAACACCCTCAACTCTCTCAGCGAAAGGATGTTGGCCAACGTCGCCCCCACAATCGACAGGGAGAACGGCGACGACCCAGAAGACTCAACCTTCCAAGAACTCGCCCTTCGCGACCTGCAAGGCGACGCAAAGGAAAACAAAATCATCCTCAACGTCAAGGAACAGAACCGCTTCTTCTCCAAAAAGCAAGACACACAATCAGCAAACAGTCTCGCTTTCGCCAAGCAGAACCCAGCCGATGTCATCTTCGAGATCCAGTCGGACCTCGAGATGATCGAGACGGATGACGCCGACAGCCTTAACCTCCGCGCCGGCATCGGCATCATCGACGACAGCGACAGCGACGAAGAGACCCAGCGGCGTCCGCACGTCGGCTCCCGCGCGGCACGTAAGGCGGCCGGCGAAGACATCATGGCGGGCATCCGCCAGCGGCGCGCGGAAAAGTACGGCGACGCCTCGGCCGACGCGACCAGGCCCATGGGCCTCCCCGCCGAGATTGCGGAGCGCTGCCAGCTGACGCACGCGACGACCGTCGAGTTTCTGCACCAGTTCTGGAACGCGTTCCTGTCGGGCGACCCTGACCGTGCCAACGAGCTGCAGTACCTCGTTGAGTCTCTCAAGCGCTCCGCCGAGCGCATCCACGCGGTTGCTGACGAGGCAGAGAAGGCCCGCGACGACATCATCGCCGCGAAGAAGAAGGAGATTATAGACCACTACAAGGCAACTGGCAAAAAGATTCGCGGTTGGCGGCCGGAGCACGAGAAGGGCGGACGCAAGGCCGTGCTGGCGGTGATGCAACCCACGCTGGAGGCGTTGAAGAAGGCCCAGGCAGACTATCAGCGGGCTCTCGCGGCGGAGGGTGTCCAGCTCTCTACGGAGGCCTGAGTTACATGACCCTGCCCATATTATTAAATTGCTCCCGAGTTGAATACGTCATGGGGGAGGGACATGGCGCGAATGTAGCAACACTATAGATCTTTACAGCAAAAAGCCCCTTTTTGATTTCACCAGTATCATGCAGCCACACGGCTATCATCGCTTCTGCAAACTATGTGATGCAGCCAACTACCTAGACAGATATCTCAATGTTGATACACTCTTATCCGTCCACTCTCCAGCTTCTCTACATTCGTATAGACCTTTCACGCGACGGGACCTATCGCGGGTTTTTTTATGGAAATCATACAGGCCCAGGGAGAATATAAGATGACACCCTCTCTGGTCTACTAGCAAGAGGTTGCCCTCTTAAAACGAGGAAACAGACAAAAAGAAAGATGGAAGTAAGAAACAAAAAAGGATTGGGTTTGAATTTTTTAAGAATGGTGTGGTGGTTTTACACTGCAACAGCCTGCCGTACCCTAGCCTCCTCCGCATCGCTCGGCGTCGGGATGACGCCGAAACCCATACCCTTGCGCTTCTGGCTGTTCTTGGACCGCACGTCGCCGTACTTCTCGTCGAAGCGGCGTATGCTCTTGAGACTGTCCATGTCCTCGCTGACGCTGGCGGCGATCATCTTCAGCGCCTTGTCAAAGTGATGTTTCCTCAGCGTGCGCTTGGAGGGGAAGACGTAGGGCTCCGGGCCGGTGTGCTTGGCAGCCTCCTCGGACTCCTCCTGCACGGCGGTCATGGCGGCGGCGACGCAGAGGTTCTTGAGGTCGGAGCCGGAGTAGAGGACCGTCTGGCGCGCGACGTCGTCGATGGAGACGGAGTCGTCGAGGTCCTCGCCCTTGAGCAGGATGCGCAGGATCGAGGCGCGGTCCTGCTTGAGGGGGAGGTCGACGAGGATCTTGCGGGGCAGACGGCGGAGGACGGCATCGTCGAGGTCGAAGGGGCGGTTCGTGGCGACCATGATGAAGGCCTTTGTGTCGTTCATGCCGTCCCACTCGCGGAGGAACTGGTTGATGGTCTCACGATGGGCGGCGCGGTTGCGTTGGCCGCGGGCGGCGAGCAGGGCGTCGGCCTCGTCGATGAAGATGACCAGCGGCGAGAGCTTCTTGGCCAGGGAGAAGAGGGCGCGGACGTTCTTCTCAGACTGGCCGACATACATGTCGTTGATGCTTGCGCCCGAAACCTCAAGCATGTTCGCGCCAGACTCCTTAGCGACAGCCTTTGCCAAGAGAGTCTTGCCGGTACCAGGGGGTCCGTAGAGAAGGCAGCCAGGGATCCTGTCGGTGGCGAGAACGCCATAGGTGAAGGCTTCGGGCCTGATCAGGGAGAGGGATGTGAGGAGCTTGAGGGCGGACTTGGTCTCCGGGTCGGCGTGGACATCATCAAAGGTCGTCTTGATCTCATTGGAGTTGACTAGGCCTGCCAAGAGCTTCTTCTCGTAGTCGTTGTAGCTGCCGGATGCACGAAGACGTTCGGGCTCGGCGCGAGTGGAGTCGGCGGATGATGAAGAGGGAAGAGAGGGTTTGGAGCGGGTTGGTTTGTCCTGGACGCGGTGCAGTTGGGCGGTGCTGTAGGAGCTCGACTCCACGACGTCGAAAAGAACGCGCCAGGACTGGTCTGGGGAGACGGAGCCCTGGCAGGCGTAGAAGAGGCGGGTGATGTGGTAGACGTCCGGAAGGGGGAGCACGGAGGTGGCGAGAACGCGGGGGATGAGAGAGACTTCCATGTAAGAGCCCTCTGCGTCGTCGAGAAGGAACTGTGGTGGGTGCGACTTAGAGACGCCGACGATGCGAAGTTTGGAAGTGTCCGGGGAGGACCCGGCGATGGTGCGAAGCATGTGTTGGATGTTGCGCAGGTTTTCTTGGAGGTAGTCGTTTGCCTCGTAGATCTTCTTCGTGTTGCTTGCGTTGGTGATGCGCTGAAAGTTCAGGGGGAGCGGAACGAGGCATTCCTCGGCAGCAATATCCTTCAGTGCTGTGGCGTACTGCTCCGATGGGTTCTCGTTGGAGGAGGTGCCGACGAGCGTCACTCTCCTGCCAGACCGCCACATTGTGTCAACGATGGAACGCAGTCTGCCGAGGATGAGAGCCCCCTCAAGAGTCATATTGAGCTCAACAAAGTCATCAACATGGATGATCAGGTTGCGATCCGGTTGCGAAGACGTCTTTGTCGTCGCGTTGGCGATCTCCTCAAGAGCAGCATTGATCTTGAGGTTCTCCCAGCGGTCGACGGAGGGAAGCATGTAATCCTTTGCGCCCTCCTTGATCTTCTGAAGCTCATCCTCCATGGGGTTGTTGAAGCCGTTTCCTCCTTCTTGTTGGTTAATATGAACCCACGCAGCCTCAATTTCACCAGCCACATCTTCATCGTTCGGCTTGGCAGGCTCCTCCGATTTCGCCAAGCGGCCGTTCATCTCTGCCGCGCGGTATCCCATCATGGAGATGGGGCCTCTGGAGTATGCGCAGTCCTGGCCGATGTAGTCACCCACGAGCATGCCCAGCTCCTGCGCATCAAGATGGATGATGTCCGCTTCTACGCACGAAGCAACATGCTTCATGAGTTTCCTCGTATGGCTCCGACCAGTATAATTCGGGATGTGAACGACCGTAAGAGGCCTCTTGAGTTCCCTACCCAGCATGTCCGTTGTTGGTTGCAGCGCAAGCTCGGCGCGCACCGCCGTGACGATCTCACCCCGAATCCTAGGATCAAACAAGCGCAGACCGTCACGTTTTGGTAGCGGTCGTCCCTCCTCGATATACTGCTCGACAAGCGTCTGGAGTACAGCATCCTGATCCGCTGTCTGCTCCTGTATGGGATCGCTGTTTATTGTGTCTCTCGTGTGTTGCGACAGAAGGTTCGACAAAACAAACTTGTTAGAGTAGCGAAGCATATCGGCGAAGTCCGTCGTGGGAAGCGGCTCTCGGGAGCTTTGCAAGTTGTTTGAAGACCGCATCTCGTCAATAGAAAGGCTCAGCCACTGCGATGCTTCAGCAAGTATCCTGTTCCGCCTCTCAACAGCCTCGGTATTGCCCTCGCGCAAGTTGCGCAACGCATCCTGCAGCCTCGTTTCGCTCCATGAAGCCTGGCTGAACACTAGATCCAAGTCCTTCCATAGCAGGTCGTGCCAGCGGGCGCCCATGTACCGGTGGTGCCAAAGGTCGTTCGTGAGGGTGTTAATTCGGTTTTCGGGGTCGTAGAGCGACACGTTGCTGTCGAGGAAACTCTGCGGCAGCTTCACGGGCGGAAGCTCGTCCGCCGCTCTCGGCCTCGAAAGCCGCGCTCGAGCAGATGCAAACGCGCCGCCTCTCGATCTGCGGAAAGCCGACTCATTCGTGGGCTGTTCGGTCTTCACACCGTCCTGATCTCTACCGCTGCCGTCATCCTGCTCGCTCGCGGGTTTTTCTGGTGGCTTTCCGTCGTCTGCACCGCCTTCGGACGGGCCTTTCCGCAATCTGAAGGACGGATGGAAGTGTCGACACTGGCGGCGGGCCGAGAACGCTGCTAACCTCGACGACGCAGAGACTCGAGAGGCTGAGGCAAGGGCCCGTGGCCCTATTGCATGCATTCGGAAGAAACAAGGGCGATATGCCAGTAATTGGCGGTGTCGTTGTAGGGCGAAAGCACTTCTCGTTGACAAGCTCTTTGAGCCGGTGCTGTGCTTAGTGAGGGCGGCGGAATCTCGGCAGACTCTTCACCGAGCCTCACCGAGGACCACACCGAATGAGCTCATGATTCGATCAAGAAATGGGGCCCAAGACCCAGTCAAAGTGGACGTTACGTCAATAGCAGATGTACTAGAAACAGCACGCGGATTTTACATTTGTGCATGTTTTCATTTGTGTTGTTGACGCTCCTACGCCTCATCTGAGGGACTTTGAATTTCGCTCCTATGCCCTTTGCTGCCAACCATATGTCATACACTCGTAACGCTATTCGTAGGATATTCAGAATAACGCGAAATCTTCAAAATCAAATCCTCCTTGGGCTCCGAACTCCTTCTTTCCCCAAGTCCACCATTGGCTCCATATGCGAAGTTGGTCATGCAAAGTAATGACAAGCTCCTGAATGTCCCAGTCAAGTTTGATCGTGCCATGTGCGGGTTGCGTCGAAGTGTTGTCGCAAGTACTTCCTGGAACCGTCCACACCGGGCCCTTGACCACCCAGTTCCTCTGTACGTCATCTACAATAACTCGAGACCATTCAAGAACCATGGCATCTTGAATCTTGAAATTCTTAGCCTCTCTCAGGCGCCGGAAGAGGCCTGAGGGAGATAGAGGCGGAACCTGTGATCTCTCAAGTTGAGTATCCAGATATTCTTCGGCTCCGTTGACGAGGACGCTGAACCAATCAAGTTGTTCCATGACTTCATCCCACCACTTCACCTCACCTTGCTTCAAGGAATAGGACTCGAATGTTGGCTGAAGGGTGTTGACGAGCCAAACGATTTTCCTCAACGCGTGAATGTGCTCTGCGCTGACGGGGGTGCCTCTCAAACCAGTCGCCCAGTCAAGCGTAGATGTGATGAGAGTAGACATGGCGGTCAGCACATCATCGTTTAGTTGGCGAGCAACGACTGAACCATTCCACTCCAGCTCTAGAGCATCGCAGAATACATCCAGCAGAGCGTAAGCTTCAGGGCTAGACTTCGTAGCATGCAGAACTGCAGAAAGCATTCTGAGGGTAAAGGCTACTACGGCGTCGCTCTGCATAGCTGTCTTCAGCAGCAGCACTTGTTGTGGCAATCTGCCCAGCTGGAGGGCTTTCTTGAAGTTGTTGAGCAAGAGATAAAACAGGCTGCTGGCGATTCCAGTGTTGCCCTCCGCAAGCTTCAGCCCATAAGACAAGATTTTCGCCACTTGCAGCTCAGGGTCCTCAGCAGGGGGGGAGTACACCTTGCTCACCTCCTTGAAGAAAGGGGGCACTTTGCAGATATCCGTGCCGTAGGTTGTGATGAGGGATATGATGTTGCGAACAAATCTGACATAGGTTGAATGCTCTGCCGAATCATTTGTTGAGTCGTTGGCCGTGACTTGAAGATCGGCTCGCATTTGCTGCATGGCATTGTCCAATGCCTTTGAGAAGTTGGATAGTTCTTTCTTCTTTTCGGCAGCATTCATTGTCTGCAGGGACTGCCGCATCCATTTCATTGCGTCTGCAAGAATTAGTCGGCCGGCCCTCAAATTCGGCTAGGGGCACTTACACTCGAAGAAGTCGCGATTAGACATGTAACCTGGATTGGCAACAAACCCTAGTGTCCTATTGGGAACATATGGAAATCCCTGGCGTTGCATTTGCTGGCCAAGCTGATTCTCGAATCTCAAGCAGTGGTTTGGTTGAACAATAATCAGTAACCACAGATGGAGGAGATCGATACCCATGTCCTTTTTCGAATCAGCAATGGTCATGTCCAGCGAAATTCAGTTTCTTACGTCTAGCTTCACATTCCCCGGCCTCTGCATGACGGTCGAGAGAAAAAGCGGAAGGTATGGTCGTTGTTCCAAGCTGAGCTTATGAGGCATGTTGTCGAAGAGACCGAATCTATGGTTGCGTTTGAAGATTTGAGAGTATTGCTTTGGAGGTCAGCCCATTATTCTGTGAAGGGGAATCTAAAACTTACCATCATTCGACAGCGGACAAACAGGCTAGACATCATGCCAGATAAAACAACGCATTGCTCAACGCAGGCACTTGAGACAGACTTGACCAAGGGTTTGCCTCTGTTGGCTTGGTTGGCCAAAATACAACGTGACATGGAGAAGAACCCAGCGGCCAGCTCTCGCTCGAGCATCTGGGAAATTGTCAGACCCGAAGAGAAAGAATGGGTGATACGGCTTACTAGGATGGCTTCTTCCGACTCCACGCCCACCATGCTGTCTTGGCTGTCCCCGTCTTCGTTGAAGACTGTCTCAATCCGTACAATGAGTCGTTCGAGGGTCGTCAGGGAGGCTTGCAGAAGTGCCGACGGGAAGTCTGCAGGGAGGGCGGAAAAGTGCTGGAAGACGTGTTGCAATTGGACTGACAAATGTTAGTGTGTATTTTCAGAATATGAATTGGCTCTAACTGACCAGTACTTGAGGCAAGTCTTGATAGCTCCAAGCTGTTTGCGTATTGCACGACGTCCATGGATGACTTAACAGAGAAAAGCATGATCTCCATAGTAGCAGCCTTGTTCTTTTCTACGATTGCGTTCATGAAACTTTCGCTGATTCTGTTTGTCGCATCTTTCGGCATTGCCAAGAATTGTCGTTGCATATCAGCTGCAGCGGAATTGTACTGGTCAACCAACTGCTTGAACACGTCTGCTTGCCAGTTGGCCAGGGGAAGGAATGACAGAGAGGACTCTTCGTGTACCACGAATCGTGCGAGTTGGTTCCAGGCCCGCAGGTTGATCAAACAAGCTTCCTTGTGAGAGCTAGCGGGGATGACGAGCTTCTGCAGGTTGTGAATAGGAGGCCGAAGATCGGGCGGCGCGGCCCAGAACAAGGTGCAAAGAAGATCGTGGTGGTTCCTGAGAGCAGCCAAATCATGTGCGTGAACGTCCTGTTCCTTCGAATATTGTCGGTCGTGATTGGGAAGAGTGCGAGTCACCAGGTTCCGAATGTCGTTGACCATGTCCTTCTTCCTCAGCTTCTTGATGACCAACGCCACCAATTTGAGGAAAATGTGGAAGCAGCGATCCTCTGCTTCAACCTTCAACGACGGACTAGTGTGGAGGTTGTCTAAAAATCGAGCAGAGCGAAATGCCTCTTCGTTTCGCAAATGAGACAGATTTTGAGAACCGAAGAAGTCGAAAATTGTGCCAATGATGCCACTGCATTTCTTCCATCCCCATTGTTCCACCAGATAGTGACATCTGGCCACCAGCGTTCGGCAATAGTCATTGAAGCTTGGAGATTGACGGGGGTTGTCGCGGTATAGCTGAAAGACGCGCTTCAAGACTTGCTGAGGAAGGCTCCAACCTTCCACCGGGGTGTGATGTCTCTTGTCGGCAATGAGAACGCCCAGATTATCGAATTCGCACAGCGGCAAAAGAGTGAACATGTCCTTCCATAAACACTCGAATTCTTGTGCATCCGACCCTCGAATGATAGCCGGCTTGATAAGACGAGGGAACGTGACGTCCCAAAAATTCATCCTCGGTATCCGAAGACTTTCCAAGACCCTCATCAAGACTACCCAGGCGTGTGGAACAACCTTGTCAGAGCGTATACCACGCTCACGATACCTCAACGTTTGAAGGTCATCATAAAGATTGGTGACCTCGTCCAGTCCAGACGTTAGAAGGCTGCTGACTAGTGCTTCGGCAGCTTTCCTGAGGAGATTCTCCAATGTGAAAGTTTCCGAGATCAGCGAGGCACGGTTCTGGCAAAGACGAACTGCAGAAGAGATGATGAGCAGCAGGTTTGAAAGTACGTCCGTCAGCTCTAAACGTCGGTCTGAGTCTAGAGACAACTCGGAATCCAGGCGAGACAAGAAAGCTCCGGTCACATCGCCTAGACGTGTGACAAAAGAGTGAGCGCCATTGTCGTCGGTGAAGCTCATTGACTTGAGAACGTAGTCCAGAACAAAATGCGCTGCATCTTTCGCGTTGAAGCCAGCTTCTGCTGTAAGCACAGGCTTCAGGACTTGATCGAGCATTCCATCCATCAAAATGCCGAATTCCGACGAAACCTGCTCAGTCCAGATGTCCCAGCGAAGAAACTGTTCTCCCAGATGGAACGATACTCGAGGCCGAGACTCCCAGAGCTTGTCTGGAAACCGTTCATCAACTGCGGAATCAACCTTGCCGCTTCCTATGAGAGTACTCTCGTGGAAGAACACTCCACGATCGAGTGGGAATGTGTCAAAGTGCTGCGTGTAGTGGGTACCAAAGGGGCCGAGGCCAAGCAGTTGGTTATCAGCATGCGTAGTTCTGGGCGCCTCTGCTGGGGTGGACACTTCAGTCGTGGGCAAAGGATCATTTGCGTAACGAAATTGGGCAGCGGCGACATCGATTCGAACGGGCGGGACAGCTTTCCTTGAACGTTTGGGGCGATGCTTCTCGGCAACCGACGGCTCGGGGGATCCTCTGGCTGCAGTGACCCGCTCTGAGACAACGGAGCATGCATCGTCAATGACAGAGTCCAAATGCATACTTCGGGCGGATAGCGACTGTGAACGACTTCGACGAAAGAGGGCATCAAGTGCCCTTTTCCTCGCTTGGAAAGCAATCCTGCCCGGTTGTTCTGCCAGATCGGTCTCAAGCTGCGCTGGTCTATTCGTGGCGCCATGGGGTTGTTGGCTAGCGAATGAACTTTGCCGCGAGAGTGGCCGTTGCGGCCGCCGAGCACTAAGGGATGGGGTCGCAACTTGGTCATTGTCTTCTATCGCTCTTGCAGGCTGGGTGACCGTCCGACTCTTGGGGGAAGCTGCCGGAGCCTGCGAAAAGACATTCGTCGAAAGCTGAGCGAGTGGATTTCGCGCAGTGGATTTGGTTCGGGTGCTCCTTTTGCGTTGCAGGCCCTGGCGAGGCTGTATTTTATTTCCTTTCCACTTTTGCAACACTGTCCCAGCATCGACATTGTCCTTCCTTGTTGCTAGACGAATTGTCTTGTTCCTCGGGCTTGACCTTCCCAGATTGCGTTTGCTCTGAGCTGCCCGCGCCGCAATCTTCAAGAACTGCGGCGCATCTGACTCAATGACATCCAGAATACTCAAGCGCGGGGGTGTCTTTGCCCTAGCGATAGCTTGAGGTGCACCAGGCGCTGATTTCTGAGTGGTTACCCAGGGATCCAGACGAGGTGTTGTGGTGGATCGGCTTGCGCTTTTTGGAGGCCTTCCGCGTTTCTTTGGCTGAGCATTTGAAGTCGATTTGCTTTTCTTGAGTCTCTTTGCTGGACGGAAGGACTCCTTGAGAGTCATCTGGCGTTTTCGGCTCGGAGCCATCTGATCAACTCCGTTATCTTCCATAGCAGAAGAGTCCCCGTCATCAAGTTCAATGATCGGTGGTCTACGTCGTTGCGGGGACATCGTATCAACGTTGACCTGAGCGGTTCCAGAAGGCCGTGACACAGATGCCGGTTCTTCATCCGAGTCATCAAAAATGAACGACGCCGCTGTTGTAGACATCGAGCGACCGATACGCCGGACGGCAACCCCACGTCTCTGCGTCATTTCAGGCGATGGCTCGCGGTGATGCTGTTGTGCGGGCTTCGGGCGGCTTGCTTGTTGGTCAAGTCTAAGCCATGACGCCGGAAGAACGCCTCGGATTCTCCGACCAACGTTTCTGAGGGCTTCCGATTCGCTCTCTGGACCACTGACAGCGCCATCCTCGGATTCTGGTGCAGACATAGCAGCAAAGTCACCGGAATCATGTTGATCGTCCTCTGCGGCAGAAACGTCGGCCATTGTGATATCGACAACTTCATGATTTGCAGGAGCTGACGTTTGTCTTAGCGGCGACGGTGACCGGAAAGGATCATCGTCGTCGTCATCGTCAAAGAGGACTTGGGCAAGGTCCGTTCCAGGCGGTGGGATAGAGCCGGCTCCTAAATCGATGGGGGCATTCGGTAGCTGTGGAGGTAAAGGAGAAGAGGAGAGGACGCCGTAGATCTCATCATACGTCTGAAATATCGGACCTGAAGGCGGCTGCTCGGTCGTGGCCACCTCCTTCCCCGGTTGAGACCTGGCAACGCCTGTGCCCATAAGCCTTCTTCTCTTTTTACTCTGTGCTGTCGTCGATTTGCGGAAAATCTCGTCAATCGAGGGAAGATCTCCGTTGTCGGACAAGCTGGTATTATCCGTTTCTCCATCCTGGCTCGGTTGACTGCTCGGACCACCTTTATGCTTGGGTGATGAGGTTCGAAGCGGAGAAGGAGACGGCGACAGTGACATTCGCAATATGTCGTGACTCAACGGTTCCTCCAATCCATGAGACTGACTCTCGTCCGTTGTCTCGTTCTGTCCATCCGCTACGCTCTCTTGGCTGGCCTCGAAATCCTTCTCCTGAGAATCCTCATCGGCTCTCTGTCGCCTGGCGGCCGGCTCATTTGGCATCCTTACAGGCCGTAATCCGTGGGACTTGAAGACTTTGCTGTATTGTGCATTTTCGATCAAATATGGGTGTTGCTGGATCGGCTTTCGCGGCCTGAAGGAGCGGGCATGCTGGGCGGCAGTTTCCCTCGCAATTTGTTCGTCCCTGCTCGTGTCCGAGTCTCTCTGTCTGACTGGTGGCCGTGGTTGACTGCTCAAAGAGGATAGTCGGTTTCTCGGCAGACTTTCTGGACTTGTCCATGGACTCTGTTGATGCATTCGTGGAGCTTCTGGACTCGTTCGTGAACGCTGCGGGCTCGATGGTGGGCTCTGCTGACTCCTGGGAAGGCCTTGAACATTTTGTGCTGGACTTCGTCCTCTCCTCAGCGAGCTAGATGGCATCCTGGGTGGACTTGCCATCAGAGCTGTAGGGGGTGACAGGCTTCGGGTATCGTTCTCGCGGGGAAACGCAGGAGGAGGGGCTGTGATCTTGACATAGCTCGTAGATATGCTGTCGTCACCTCCGAGAGGATCTGGGGACTCGTCTCGGCCGCCAACTGTATACATATGCCTCGTCGGCGGAGGGGCCGCAGCTGGCAGGTCCTCCAAGTCGAAAATATCCGCGAGATCGTCCACATCTTGCGCCGAGGAAAGGGGCGAAGAGGCGGGTTCGTCTGCAGGAGGTCTAGTTTCCTCTGGGCTCGAGATCGGGGGTATTGTCTTCGCAGTTGCATCTGCCTTTGCTTGGGAGGAGGGGGGGACATCCCACACACTGTCTTCGGGGGCTTGCGTCGACTGCAAGGCTTCATCGGGTTTGTTCATGGGAAGGTTGACATGTTGATGGGTTCCCTCGAATTCCTGGCTATCGAAGTCCTGTTCGTCGTCCGAGTCTGGGACCTCGCCCAGTTCTTTCCAGTTCGCCATGGCGTGAATCATTCATCATAAACAACTAAACATGGTATAACCAAGGTTTCTTGAACGACGCGCTTGAGGATTTCGTGTGAATAGAAAAGAAGTCCTGGGATTTGATGCTTGGTCGGGAACGAACCGTGCATTACCTAAGATTCAGGTACCCTTGATCGCTAGCTGTAGCGTTCGATGTGTGTTCAACCCAGACGCGTCCAGACGGTCGGTGAGCGCGTTTGGTGGGGTACGCGCTGTCGCGCCGTGGCGGGTGGCCATGGGGGTGAACCACTTTAGCTCGAATGCGTGCACGGCCGGCCGGAGCCGATCTTTTTTTGGGGGGAACGGCACCGAGAGCTTCAGCTGGCCGCCACAGCTACCGATCTCGGTATTCAATTACATCACATTCGACTTGACCTCTGCGACTGGGTCAAGCTGGAGATATTCTCCAATCACCTACCTTCGCGCACATCTTTCCGCATCATCAATCACAGGCTCCAGTGGTCCCAAAGCTCTAGACATGAGTCTGACCAAGAACATTCTTCCACTCGTTGTGGCCGTAACAGCTGGCGTCGGCATATGTTCGTTCCCTATCCCTGCAAGCGCATTTCAAAGCTCGTTCTTGGCTTGAAACTGACAGTGGTGATCGCTGCAGCCGTATACACTCTGAAGCCCGGACTAGAACAGCAGCAGAGACTGCGGGAAGAGCGCGAACGGGACCAACTCCAGGCCGCCGCATCCGGAGCACCCAAAACTCCTGACCAGCCAATTCAAGCCAAACGGTAGCGGAGACCAACTCGGATCAAAAAAAAACACCACGAGAACTCATGAGCTACAATAGCTCCGAAACTTAGAGCGGACACTGCCGGCGTACAATATTTCCAGCCTTGCTCGTCTGTGTTCGACGTGGGAGGCTGCAGGCATTGGGCAGAGTGAACAAAGGTTCCCAAGAACAGCTTAATACAACAACAGGGCTGGCACGTATGCTCAGACTCGTAATAATTCCATCGACCTCTTCTAGTTGCGCCACACACTACGTGGTCCATCTACAGCATACTCAGGGTCGAACACACCGGGAAAACGGCTATCAGCTGTCGAAGCTGACTTTTGGGGGTTGCTGAGCTAGAAGTTGCGCTGTTGTCTTGCATGGTCTCAAAAGATGGATCGATGAGCACCACGCAACCTCTCCCGAGGCCATTGGCTGTAGACGGCGAAAATGTGCTGCCCAAGTAAGCCAACCGGCGGAGGCATGCATTAACAACATCTTTACGCTATCCATGCTGTCTGTTGGTGGCCCAGTGCAGCAAGTCAAGAGCCACTGCGGTAAAAACGGAAGCATTCTTCGATAGACAGCATGGTATATGAACAGAAATGTTAGCCAAATTCAAATGAAATGTCTTCGCGTTGAGCCGCAGCCTCGCAAGTGACGCCATAAAGATCCCGGTCAAACGGCGACGGCGGTATTCGGAATGGACCGACAACCGAGCTTGCACTTGCACCACCACCAACAGGGGAAAAAAAAGCTGTCAGCCCAGACACCGAGGTGAGCTCCTACCTGGTAACCCCGGCCATTCCATCGATCCCATTGGAAGCCCAGTCTGTGCACGGACCATTTTACATCACGTGATGTCCCCAATCACCCAGTCGCAGCCGGCGTATTGCAATCGAAATTCCTATCATACGATTGCCCGGAACTTCTAGGTAGCCAGAAAAACCCTCTTTTCCTCTCGAACGGAACAACCACCTCCTCGACCACCGAACCCGCGAGCAACATCCACCCGACCGCCCCCGTCAATTGACAACCTCTCCCCTCCGAGCCCAGCGGTATCTCGATTTTCTCTCTCGGACGACACATAACGAACCCGACACGATGTTCAGAACCCCCACCGTTTCACTGGCCCGCGCCGGCCTGCGCGCCGCTACCCAGCAATCCGTCATCCGCCGCGCCGCCACCACCCACGCCATCTCCAACCCTACGCTCGCCAACATCGAGAAGAGATGGGAGGGCATGCCTCTCCAGGAGCAGGCCGAGCTCTGGATGGCGCTGAGAGACCGCATGAAGGGTCCCTGGGCTGAGTTGACCCTGCAGGAGAAGAAGGCCGGTGCGTTCTTCCCCCGAAAATTCCACACACATTTTCTTTTGTCGTCGATCGCCAGGTGGTCCGATGTTCCGAGAGAGGGTTCGAAGCTATTCGCGAACAGCTCTCGCTTCCCGTCCCCCCTTCCCATCCCAATTGCCCTTTGACGGGCCCGGGTCATCCATATAAATACCTCTTGGTCAAGCTCCGGATGGATGCAACGCCAATTGGATTGGCACGACCGTCCAATGTGACCGGGCTTCATATCCCTGTGCATATGCATTGCGTCACAACGAGAGAGCCTCACAAAAAAACTAACGCAAATTGTCTCAACAGCCTACTGGATCGCCTTCGGCCCCCACGGTCCCCGCGCCGGCCCTGCCCCCGGTGAGGGTGCCCGCGTCTTCTGGGGTGTCATGGCCTCCATCGCCGCTACCTTCGTTATCTTCGGCTCCGTCCGCATGCTCGCCGGCCCTGCCCCCGACACCATGACCAAGGAGTACCAGGAGGCTTCCAACGAGTTCCTCAAGGTATTACCCCTCCGCACCGACACAGACGGCCTCTGTCTGGCTGATCAATGGCTGACCCCCCGCCTCCTAGGCACAAAATTCCGACCCCATCACCGGTCTCTCTTCCGAGGGCTACTCTGGCAAGGGCATGGTCCAGTCTCCTCCCAAGAACTAAATCGATACCATCTTTCCCTTTCGTCTCTAGAATCACAATCACAATTCGACCATGGCAGTTTGCCCATGTATAAAACTAGTAGAGCTGGCATGGGCTGGGGGGCTTGCGACGTGACTCGAGGACAACCATCTGCTTGGTGTAAATACTGTACCAAAAGAGCTGAATTCCAAGCAAAATTCCATTTGTTTTTTAATACGCAGACCATGAATGAATTAGAAATTACATGCCGCCGTGACACCTGTCACCTGTGAAGCGTGAAACATCTCATGACACCACAGAAGGTAAACAACTAAATAATCTCTTGATAAGTCTATTTAGTTTCGGTCTACACATGATTTGCTTTTGCGTGGTTCTCGTTACAATAGCTTCAATTAATTTTCGTTTCCGTCTCATCTTCTTTTCAAACGTTTCCCGGTACGATGTCCTTCAGTCATTGACTTCCCCATATCTAAGAGCTTTGGGTGACAGGAGACTCCAAACCAAGCACCTAAACATCGTTAGTTATTTCGCAAAAGTCCGCTTCATTACTGTACGTACCAGAGCAGTTCGGTTTGGGATGTACACATGAGTCCAATTCTTGCGGTTGTTCCATTCCATGGGTGTGGTGAAAAAGCGAGTGCTTTCATCAATGCGCCCGTGGCCGCCTACATCCTTGTGGTCGGTGTTCAGAATGACCTTGTAGGTTCCAGACACCTCAATGCCGATTCGGTAGTCAGCGTAGCTCTCGGTGGGATGGAAATTGAAAATGAAGACAACGCCGGCCCTCTCAAAGACGATGACCTTGTCTCCCTCATGCTTGAGAGAGATGTATGCTTGTGGCGCCGCCAGCCAACCGTAGTTCTGCTCCGTCGTATTCATGAGACGGTCAAAGTGGTCGAGGAACTTGTAGCGAAGGAGGTGATCATCAGTCAGGTTCAGCTGGCGACGAGCGTACCAGAATGAGTTCTGGTTTCCTTCACGCGGGAAGTCGAGCCACTCAGGGTGCCCGAATTCGTTACCCTCAAAGTTAAGGTATCCTTCTCCGCCGAGACCGTGGGTCAACAGACGGATCATTTTGTGGAGGGCCATGCCACGATCGATTGTTGGCGTCAAGGGGGTAAGGGTCGACATGTTGGTGTACATCTCGGCATCACAAAGATGCATCATCAGAGTTTTGTCGCCAACAAGCCTAAAATGGTCAGATTGCCTGGAGAGAGGGAGAGAGGAGAAGACTTACGCCTGGTCGTGACTCTCGCAATACGCAATCGTCCTTTCGCCATGTCTCCTGTTCGTGAGGGTAAAGCAGATGTTGCCAATATCCCAGTCCTCGTCCTTCTTCTCCTTGAGAATCTTGATCCACATATCCGGGATTGCCATGGCAAGACGATAGTCGAAACCAACACCACCAAGGGAAAGGGGAAGACAGAGAGCGGGCATGCCAGAGACATCTTCAGCAACGGTGATAACTTCTGGGTAGAGAGAGTGAAGCATCTCGTTGGCGATCATAAGGTAGACAATGGCCTCCTCATCAGCGTCGGAGCCAAAGTACTCGTGGTAACCCCCAGAAAATCCACTGTTCGTGTCAGTGTGCTCACCCTACGAAAAGAGTCCGGATGCTTAAAAGTACTTACGTGCCAATACCATGGTGTAGATACAGCATGCTGGTCACTCCATCAAAACGGAAACCATCAAAGTGGTACTCATCCATCCAAAATCTCAAGTTACTGAGAAGGAAGCGCATGACCTCGTGGTGACCGTAGTTGAACAGCCTACTGTCCCACAGCTCATGACGACCGCGGCCACCCTCATGGAAGTACTGATGGTCTGTTCCATCAAATTCGTTCAGTCCGTCCAACACGTTCTTGGAAGCGTGACTGTGGACGACGTCAAGAAGCACGACGATGCCCATGCTATGAGCAGTATCGACCAGCTCCTTCAAGTCCTCGGGTGGTCCATATCGGCTACTCGCAGCAAAGAAGTTGTTGATTTGGTAACCAAAGCTGGCATAGTACGCGTGCTCCATGACCGCCATGAGCTGGATGACGTTGTAGCCAAGGCTCTTGATTCTAGGCAGCATGTTGTGGGTAAACTCTTTGTAGGTCGCAACTCTCAGCTCAGGAGAGGAAATTCCAACATGTGCTTCGTAGACGCGAACGCTTCTAGGCTTCTGCGGTCTCGGGTGCTTGAACTCGTACTTTTCGGCTGCAGGTGGGTTCCAGAAGCGAGCTTCGTACGCCGGGGATATGGACAAGTCTTGCGTCACGTATTTGATCCATGCGGGAAGACGGTCGACGCGCTCGCCGCTCGGGAGCTGCAAGGAAATCTAGTCGCCAATGAGCCCATGTGCAATCCAGCGCACTAACATTATGACACTGACCTTGATCTTGGAGTTGTGAGGGATGGCAGCTTCGCCATTGACGGCAGGGAGGGTGATTTCAAAGACGCCAAAGTTGTTCTTTGTCATCTCATGGGAGTTTCTGTCCCAGTTGTCTTGAGGATTCCAGGTAAGTAAGTTTCTAGCAGGAGACGCAAGTCGTAAGTCTTACTGAAGTCGCCAGTGAGGAAGGCCTGGGTGGCATTGGGAGCCCACTCGCGGTAGACGATGTTGTTATCCTTGTCCACATTGAATCCGAAGATGGACGTGCCCTGTTCGAGCGGTCGGTCAGTTCTAGATCGATACACTGGGTGAGATGAATTGGCGGTACCTTGGAGAACTTTTCGATCCCGCCCTCGGTATCATTGATCTTCTGGATCCAGTCCTGGGCGCGGGCGTAGCGCCGCTTCAGGGATTCCTGAAAAGGCGACAGCCAAGGATCGAGCTTCACGACACCTGCACGCGATTAGCCAATGCCCAAACAGAGCCTCAAGGTCCCGTGTTTCTCACCAGTGCCATCGTTGGGGATGCCCTCGGCAGCTCCCTGGTTCCCGTTGAGGGTAATCGAGTTTGCCGAGTTCTCGACAATGGCGGCCATGGCGAATGATGTCGATTGCGCTTGGGACGGCCAGATGTTTGAATGGCGGGGGAGGGCTCGCGGCAGTTGGTTGGTATTGGTATCTATCAATTGCAGACGCAGAACGTCAGATGTTGCTCAGGAGGGAGTTAATGCAGGGTAAGGTAAGATGATTTAGAGGAAAGTCGATTGGGAAGCTACCGTGCCCCGCGTGTGAAATGTTGAGGTCGGGGAGAGCTTAGAAAGCTATGGACAAGTACCTGTGCTAAGCCGGGAATTCAGACCTTTCCTAACGTAGGACGGTAGGGGTCTGAAGCTAGACAAGGAATGCGCAGATTGGTAGCAATCTCGTCAGGAATTGGGCGAGTCTGGAATCCTTAGAATCTCGATCAAACGTTGGACTCGTCCTCACTTGAACAACAAAGCAGGTGGGAAAGGCGGGGAGCAAAACAATCGAAGATGGCAGAGTGATGTCGAAGGCACTTGTCGTCATGCAGCGTATGTCAGTGTCCAAGATAGATGGTTCCCCCGCACTACTAGGGGCAAGCTTGGGATGGATTAGACTTTCATTTTATCAGACGCGACAGAGGGAAGAGCTCAAGGTATATTATCAGCGTGTGCATATGGTATGACGTCGTGGGGCAACGCACTTGGCTTGTCCGATTGTGATGGCGAATAGCTCGCAGCTCCAGGCAAGCAAGAAGTAGGTAGGTACCATTCCGGTCAATTGCGCTGGGCTGTCACGCTCTCCAGTGTCTCTTCTCTCCGCATTCTGTGCAGCCCTTCCGCCTGGGGATCCGTTGGTCTGGGGCGACCAATTCAACGAGAATTGCTGCATCGGAAGCCATAGGCCGCTAGAGAGGGACGAGAAAAACACGATGCCGCCACCCGACCACCTCCCTGTCGATGCCTGCGTCTCAACACAAACAGCAGACCGAATCATCAGGTTGACAGCCTTCCAGCGAGCCATTCAGCAGCTCGCCACCTCCGAAGTGGTGGTGGGGGATGGTACGCTGAAGGTTGGGGTGCTTTTAGCGACCAATGTCGAGCTCAGCTTGTTGGACATGAAAACTCGAACTCGGCTCCCCCGTGGTCTTGCTTGGTGTAGCCTGTCCTCCGCATGCTTTGCTCCTTTTCAGGCAAGGATGAAGGGCGAGTGAGGTGCGACAGGCCACTTCCCCGGCCAGTACCAGGCCAGGCCAGCAGGGTATCCAGCCAGTACGAGCAATCTACATCGGTGCTGTGGAACCGGTTTGTCGTTATCGTGCCAGATTGCCATCACAGACACGTCGTGGGCCCTCTCAGAATCGCATGCCAGACGCACAGTGGTGGAGCGCTGGACGTGGAGTTGGTACTGGGCTACACCGTATTCGTACCAAGCTAGGTAGGTGGGTGAAGCATTCTCTCATTCACCATCTCAGTGCACATTGCTATGAGGTCTATCCAGAGAATACGAATAAAATAAATATTTCCTGCCGTTGAAATTCATCCAAGACAGCGCCCGGCCGTTGAAGGCGATTTTCCGGATGAAGCAGCCGTTGCGTTCACAAAACAAAAACAAGATCTGTCAATTCACTGCCCCACGTCCGGAAATGGTTGGACCCAATGTGCTTATGGTCTCCTGACCCCAGCCTGGAGGTTTCCAATGTACCATAGGTGAGCTTTGCCGGGAGTCTGATCTGTGTTTTACAAGCCTACAGGCATATAGGACATGATCTGATCTGTGAATATCCCGCAGAGCCGCCCATTGCCCGTCCCCAGTTCGTCTGCGAGTGGCTGGCAGGAGACGCCGCTTGTAAGGAGACTGACTGTAAGGAGACCAGGGGAGCTCTCCGAAATGCCAGTTAGGTCGGCACTAACACTGCAACGCACGCAGCAGGGTCTGCGATTGGAACATCGTAGACACGATGGCAAAAGTGCTGCGTCATGCCTCGCGTTGCGATAAGCTATTTCCCATCAATGTCAATTTGACTTTGGAAAGGCAGCAGCAAGTTATGTCAATGAGCAAACAAACCATCTGATAACAATCAACTGCATCCCCAATCTTAGCCGGTCCTAAGCGCTGGAGCTTGAGCTCCTCAACCCCGCATCCGGGCCACTGCGGCGGACAGCTCTGACCAAGCTTCCTTATCCGGCCAACCAGCCACAATCTCACGACATCCGCCATCTACTCCGGTAACCGGACTGTCAGCCCGCACCACCAACGTCTACTCGACACAAATCCGACAGCTACCTCCCTAACGATCATCATCCTTCGGCCAGGCTATGGTTCCCTCGTCGGGTCGCCTGCACCATGCCTCTACCCGTCAGGCCATCGGCCTACACCTGTGCACGCTGCTTTCTGCTTTCCAATGCTAGGCGCACCTTCTCCGTCTCACCCGCCGCACGAGTCGCACCGAGGCGCACTCAGGACTTCAACTCCGGCTTCACGAGCAGCTATGATCCGTCTACCGAGACCGGCCGAGGTCCCATGTTCAACAAGAACAAGTTCGGCGTTCCGCAGTTCTATCCCCGAGACCTCAAGAAGCGCGTCGACGATTACGTAGTCGGACAAGACCGAGCAAAGAAGACGATATGTTCTACCATCTTCAACCACTACCAGGGTGTTCGAAGAAGGACGAACCAGGACCATGAAGAGAGGGTTCAGAGGGAAAAGGCCGAAAGACAGCGATATGCTCGGGATAGGGATTTGCCCGAGAGGCGGGACGTTCATCCCGTCCAAGGTCAGCGCAGTCGCTACTCGCCCTTCCAGCGCTATCGTGCTGATGAAGAATGGCCGCAAGATGAGTTCCCTGGCCATGCTGAATCTGTACAGCACATGGACGAAGGTTACAGTTCGCCGACCGGCTTCGACGGCTCTTACCTGGTCGAGGAGCCCATAACCCCGCCTCAGGTCAAGATTGACAAGAGCAACCTCCTCCTCATCGGTCCTACCGGTGTTGGCAAGACCTATATTTTAGAGTAAGATGAGTGCCTCCAGTCGGTCTTCATGGTTCGGTTTGCTAACTTGCTGCAGGACTCTAAGTAAGAAGCTTAACGTGCCTTTTACGATAGCCGACTGCAACTCGTTCACCCAAGCCGGTTACATTGGGCAGGATGTAGAGACGTGCATAGAACGATTGTTGATCGAAGCGAATTACGACATCAAGGCGACCGAGCATGGCATTGTCGTTCTGGACGAGTTCGATAAGCTGGCCAAACGGGACAGCATGAACGGCCGAGATGTTGGTGGAGAAGGCGTCCAGCAAGCTCTCCTGAAGCTGGTTGAGGGCTCCAAGGTGACCGTCAACGTCAAAGACAACAGGTCATCGAGGTCCGCTTCACCTATCACGACGAACTACACATCTTCAAGTTCAACGTCGGCCCCGCAGTCCACTCCACCGCAGGGCAAGGTCGATCAATACACGATCGACACCACAAATATTCTATTCGTCTTTTGTGGCGCATTTGTTGGTCTCGACAAGGTAGTTGTACGAAGAGTGTCGAAGCCCTCGATGGGTTTCGGCTCCGAGTTGCGAGCTTCACAAGGCCTTGGCAACACCCATGCCATTCCACGCCAGTTGTTCTCGCACCTACCGCACGTCGACGCGGAGGCTCCGGCGTCTTCGTATACACCACTCGATCTGACAACGCCTGTGGATTTACAGGCTTTCGGGTTCATTCCTGAACTGATCGGCCGAGTGCACAATATCTGCGCTCTCAGCCCGTTGTCCCTAGATGACCTATTTAGGATTTTGACGGAACCGCGCAACAGTCTCGTTGCGCAGTATACCGCTCTGTTCGAAACATATCCTTCACGCTTACACTTTACCAGAAAAGCATTGTACGCTATTGCTGAGAGGGCTGCCAAGTCTGAGACTGGCGCTCGCGGCCTCAAAATGGAAATGGAGAGGGTTCTGGCTGAGCCCATTTTCGACGCCCCCATGCCGTATGTATTGATCACCGAAGCCTGTGTTAAAGGTTCCCAGAAGGCAGATTACTGGGGTAAAGACGGAAGACTGGAGGTTGAGCGTCGAATGGCTGAGGAAGATGTGGACAATGCGCCACATACTCCAGAGGTGACTTTCGAGCAGTACCGAGAAGCTGGCCAGAGCGGCGCTTGAAGGCCATGGCATACATATATACCTTGATTTGTTTGGGAGCATATACCTGTGCGCGGTATGGAGTTGGGGAGTAACATACTTAGTTAAGATAATGATGCACCCGCATGCGAAGACTGCTGAGTTTGCAGATTTGTGCTGAAAGTTTTTGCTCCATCTAACAAAACACAATGCGTAAGGTGAAAAGTTGGAACACATAATTCTGTTTTGTTCACTGGAATAAATCATATGAATCCAACATATTCACAATATCGTAGCGAATCAGCAAAACGTTCGTAGAAATGATGCAGCATTCGTCTGGTTCTCAGTACAATTGATTGTGCTGGGCCATGATTTTCAACCAGCGTTCTCACAGATCAGAATAGCGCTAATCACCACCGGTGCTTGATCGCTTTTTTGAAAGACACGATCCAGAGTGGAATGACGGAAACGGCAGGGTGAGAGGTAAAGCCACAGCTGAGGTAATCTATGTCTTATCACCTAGTGGCCCTGTCAGAAATGCGCGTTGTGCCCAGGGTGGCCCTTCCCCCAAATGGAGTTCACTGTGAGGTTCCCCGTGATCTTGAGAAAGTGATTGATTGCAAGATATCTCTCGGGGCTTATTAACAAAAGATCAATCGGCTGTTTTGAAAAAAGATGTAACAAAGGCTTAGAAAAAAAAGAAGAAGAAACAATTGAATATCGTTACGTACATCAAGTCCCGGGAGGCGGCGCTGACTGTTGCTGCCACAGGTGACCGCCATAGGTCATCCCCACAGATGACAGATGACCACTGACCAGCAACCAATGCCATGACCAGGATATCCCTATTCTAAGAAACCTACAATTTTTCTCCACCAGTCCCAGACAGATTTGCCGCAGGCCCGTACGAACCCGACCCCCTTCTTCCGAGGACCGACTCAACCCCGGCCCCGTCATCGTACAGCTTCAGTTTTTGTTTTCCTTTTCCTTTCCATGTCCATTCGACTCCCTACATTCCCTCCCATCAACCCCAACCGCCACCATGTTGCGAAGCTCCGTGTGTAGAGCTGGCACTCGGGTGCTCCAGGCCTCGAAACCCACGGCCTCGTCGAGCTTCTCGACGATCGCGTCGCGAACCTCTGCGAGGAAGCTCGCCTCTGCCCGTCGCCCCTTGGCCTTGACCAGCCAACGTCATTATGCGAGCGCAACCGACTCGGCCCCGAACCCCAACGACAACTTCCTGTCCGGCAACACCGCCAACTACATCGATGAGATGTACATGCAATGGAAGCAGGACCCCAAGAGCGTTCACGTCTCATGGCAGGTCTACTTCAAGAACATGGAGAACGGCGACATGCCCATCTCCCAGGCCTTCACTCCTCCCCCTTCTCTGGTTCCCGGTGCCATCGGTGGTGTTCCTGCCCTCGGCGCCAGCCTCGGTGAGGGCTCTGAGATCACCAACCACTTGAAGGTCCAGCTTCTCGTGCGTGCCTACCAGGCTCGAGGCCACCACAAGGCCAACATTGACCCTCTGGGCATCCGAAACGAATCCACTGGCTTTGGTAACATCAAGCCCAAGGAGCTTTCCCTCGAGCACTACCAGTTCACCGAGAAGGATCTCGACGCCGAGTACGAGTTGGGACCCGGCATTCTCCCCCGCTTCAAGAGAGAGGGCCGTGAGAAAATGACGCTCCGCGAGATCATTGCCGCTTGCGAAAAAATTTACTGCGGTTCCTACGGTGTCGAATTCATCCACATCCCCGACAGAGAGAAGTGCGACTGGCTGCGCGAGCGCATTGAGGTTCCCCAGCCCTTCAAGTACTCTATCGACGAGAAGCGCCGTATCCTCGATCGTCTTATTTGGAGTTCGAGCTTTGAGTCTTTCCTCGCCACCAAATACCCCAATGACAAGCGTTTCGGTCTCGAGGGTTGCGAGACCCTGGTTCCCGGTATGAAGGCCCTCATCGACCGTAGCGTTGATTACGGCGTCAAGGACATTGTCATCGGCATGCCTCACCGTGGTCGTCTCAATGTCCTCAGCAACGTCGTCAGAAAGCCCAACGAGTCCATCTTCAGCGAGTTCGCCGGAACTGCCGGTGGTGAGGACGAAGGCTCCGGTGACGTCAAGTACCATCTTGGTATGAACTTCGAGCGCCCTACCCCCTCCGGAAAGCGTGTCCAGCTTTCTCTCGTCGCCAACCCTTCCCACTTGGAGGCTGAAGACCCTGTCGTTCTCGGCAAGACCCGTGCTATTCAGCACTACAACAACGACGAGAAGACTCACCGCACCGCCATGGGTGTCCTCCTCCACGGTGACGCCGCCTTCGCTGCTCAGGGCGTTGTCTACGAGTGTCTCGGGTTCCACTCTCTGCCGGCCTTCTCGACTGGCGGCACCATCCACCTCGTTGTTAACAACCAGATCGGTTTCACCACTGACCCTCGTTTCGCTCGCTCCACCCCATACTGTACCGACATTGCCAAGGCGATCGATGCCCCCGTTTTCCACGTCAATGCCGACGACGTCGAGGCCGTCAACTTCGTTTGCCAGATCGCCGCTGACTGGCGCGCCGAGTTCCAGCAAGACGTCATCATCGACTTGGTCTGCTACCGTAAGCACGGCCACAACGAGACCGACCAGCCCTCCTTTACCCAGCCTTTGATGTACAAGCGCATCCAGGACCACGATTCCCAGATTGGCATCTACATCAACAAGCTCCTGGAGGACGGCAGCTTCACCAAGGAGGATATCGATGAGCACAAGCAGTGGGTCTGGGGCATGCTCGAGGAGAGCTTCTCCAAGTCCAAGGACTACCAGCCTACCTCTAAGGAGTGGACCACTTCCGCCTGGAACGGCTTCAAGTCCCCCAAGGAGCTGGCCACTGAGGTTCTTCCCCACAACGAGACCAGCGTCGATGGCAAGACTCTGGAGCACATTGGCACCGTCATTGGCAGCACTCCCGACGGCTTCCAAGCTCACCGCAACCTGAAGCGTATCCTCTCCAACAGGACCAAGTCGGTTGTCGAGGGTCAGAACATCGACATGCCCACTGCTGAGGCTTTGGCTTTCGGTTCGCTCGTCACTGAGGGCCACCACGTCCGTGTTTCCGGCCAGGATGTCGAGCGTGGTACTTTCTCTCAGCGTCACGCTGTTTTCCACGACCAGGCGACTGAGGACACCCACACTCCTCTCCAGCACATCAGCAAGGACCAGGGCAAGTTCGTCATCTCCAACTCCTCGTTGAGTGAGTTCGGCGCTCTCGGTTTCGAGTACGGTTACTCTCTGTCCTCCCCTAACGCCCTTGTCATGTGGGAGGCCCAGTTCGGTGACTTCGCCAACAACGCGCAGTGCATCATTGACCAGTTCATCGCTTCTGGTGAAGCCAAGTGGATGCAGCGTACTGGTCTTGTCGTCTCTCTCCCTCACGGCTACGACGGCCAGGGTCCCGAGCACTCCTCCGGTCGTCTGGAGCGCTGGCTCCAACTCTGCAACGAGGACCCTCGTGTCTTCCCCTCTCCTGAGAAGCTGGAGCGCCAGCACCAGGACTGCAACATCCAGATCGCCTACATGACCAGCCCGTCCAACCTGTTCCACGTCCTCCGCCGACAGATGCACCGTCAATTCCGCAAGCGTAAGTTTCTATGGTTCCAAATTTTCGATAAAGTATGCCTGCTAACATGGATCAGCTCTTATCATCTTCTTCTCCAAGGCTCTCCTGCGTCACCCTCTTGCCCGCTCCAACATTGAGGAGTTCACTGGAGATTCTCACTTCAGATGGATCATTCCCGATCCTGAGCATGAGACTGGTGCTATCAAGTCCAAGGAGGAGATTGACCGTGTCATCCTCTGCTCTGGTCAGGTCTGGGCCACTCTGTCCAAGTACCGCGCCGACAACAAGATCGACAACGTTGCCTTCACTCGTCTTGAGCAGCTGAACCCCTTCCCCTGGCAACAATTGAAGGAGAACCTCGACCAGTACCCTAATGCCAAGACTATCGTCTGGTGCCAGGAGGAGCCCCTCAACGCGGGAGCCTGGAGCTTCACGCAGCCTCGTTTGGAGACCCTGTTGAACCAGACAGAGCACCACGACCGCAAGCACGTCATGTACGCGGGCCGTGGACCCAGTGCATCTGTTGCTGCTGGTAACAAGGGGCTGCATAACAAGGAGGAGCAGGAGTTCCTGGAGATGGCTTTCAACGTTAAGCAGGACAAGCTGAAGGGTGAGTAAATTCGATAACAGACGGTCACCTTATGACTGGAGCGACTGGCGAGGAATAGAAGATGGGAATGGAAGGGATCAATCAGAATGGCGGGCGCAATTCCTGGCTTGTACAACTGTAAAACTATACCTATGAGTAATAACCACATGCCCTCCATGACGGAGAGATTGTGCAAGTTACAGCAAACGGACGGGCAGGGAAAGCATCCTAGATACACTAGCATCAGGGCGGGTCACAGCGCCGCCTTTTAGCGATATACCTGCTATCTACTGAATTTAAGTTATGTTTAAAAGATGTTCATGAGAATGAGAAGGGAAAAAGATGTGACAGTTTCGATAAACTCAAGTTTATATACAGGATTAATACGTAGTCACTGAAAATTGTTATTGCCGTCATGAAAATAACATCTTATAGATGTCATGAAATAGAAAATTGTGCTTCGTGAGATACTCAAAGAGAGTAACTAGGATTCAAAGGCTTACGGAGGTTGGGTTGGAACTTGAATGCGTGTAGTTGCGGTATCGCTGTCCAGTGTCGGCGGAAAGTCCTCGGCTCGGGGGCGGATTTGGTGATGTTCGGAGAGCGGAGAGTGAGGAGTCGAGCCGTGGTGGCAGGCGCTCATCACCGGGGAAATCAGGGACACGTACTCGGGGACACTGGACCTGGAGGGCATTGGTTGCTGGGCTTCTCTGTCTTTCTTCCCTGGTGCCTGGGGCTGCAACAATTGCCAGGAAAAGAGGACCCAACATTTGCGACATTCACCCACAGTACCCACTGCGAGTGGAATCTCTCAATGTGTGTTTTTTTTTTCTTTGCTTCCAACATCGGGCTAGAAGGACAGAAAGTTCCCAGTCTCCCAGGAGCTGCCGGGCTCAGTGGGAAGGCTAGAAAAGTGCGGTCCAGCGGTTGTCAGTGGTGTCCTTGCGGCTACGTCCAGGGCGTCCAGTGCTGTGTGTCGCTGTGTGTCATGCTCTCCAATTGAACCCGAACGTGGACCCGGTGTCTCCCGGAGGGACCAGGACGCCTAGATCGGGATTAGCGTGACGAGGTAATTTTTCCTGCTCGATATCCGATCACGTGACGCCCCCAGCAAAGCTCTAACCGACGAAGCGTAGATTCCGAGCAAAACTGCTCACTTCCTCCTAAGTCCTCCCCCAAACCTCAACCATCACCTCTCCACTCCCATCCGAAGTCGCCCTTTTTCATCTGTCAAGATGTTCAAGAGGTTCGTACCATCTTCCTGATCGACTCCTTGAACCGTCCCGCGTTCAATTGGCCCCAATTGAGCTAACCATGCCCAAATAGCGGCATTTCCTCCTTCGCCAGGGCGGCTCGCCCTTCTTTCGCGGCGAACGCTACCCGCCGCGCCATCAGACCTGCCAACTTCAGATTCCCCGCGAGCAGCAGATTCGCCTCTACTGCCGGTGTCGGTGATGGAAAGATCTACCAGGTTCGTGGACCCCTCGTTGCTGCTCCCTTCCGTTAACCCGAGGGCCATGTCGGTTACTGACAACATACTTCCACAGGTCATTGGTGCCGTCGTCGATGGTTCGTAAACACCGAGAGAAAAACTTTCATGGGGCCTGCCTCCATCTCAACGACCTCGATACTGACTTACAACGCAGTCAAGTTCGACACTGCCAAGCTCCCCGCCATTCTGAACGCCCTCGAGACGACGAACAACAACCAGAAGCTGGTTCTTGAGGTGTCGGTACGTACCTTGACGGACACCGAAAAAAAACAACTGCCGCAAAGTTCCGCATCTAACACATGTTAACAGCAACACTTGGGTGAGAATGTCGTCCGTTGCATTGCCATGGACGGTTAGTACTATTGCCTGGGAAAAGTTTTCCGCACTGAAACTCACGCTATTCCAGGTACTGAGGGTCTCGTCCGTGGCTCCAAGGCCACCGACACTGGTGCCCCCATCACCATTCCCGTCGGCCCCGCGACTCTGGGCCGTATCATCAACGTCACTGGTGACCCCATTGACGAGCGTGGCCCCATCAAGACCGACAAGAAGCTTCCCATTCACGCCGAGCCCCCCGAGTTCATCGACCAGTCCACCACCGCCGAGATTCTCGTCACTGGTATCAAGGTCGTCGACCTCCTCGCCCCCTACGCCCGTGGTGGAAAGATTGGTCTCTTCGGTGGTGCCGGTGTCGGCAAGACCGTCTTCATCCAGGAGCTGATCAACAACATCGCCAAGGCCCACGGTGGTTACTCCGTCTTCACTGGTGTCGGTGAGCGTACCCGTGAGGGTAACGATCTGTACCACGAGATGCAGGAGACTTCCGTCATTCAGCTTGACGGCGAGTCCAAGGTCGCCCTGGTGTTTGGTCAGATGAACGAGCCCCCCGGTGCCCGTGCCCGTGTCGCCCTTACTGGTCTTACCATTGCTGAGTACTTCCGTGACGAGGAGGGACAGGATGGTGAGTTGTTTCTCGTAGCAGATTGCGCCACCAACGCGTAGCTAACCAGTTCACAGTGTTGCTCTTCATTGACAACATTTTCCGTTTCACCCAGGCCGGTTCTGAGGTGTCTGCCCTGCTGGGTCGTATCCCCTCTGCCGTCGGTTACCAGCCTACCCTCGCCATTGACATGGGTGGTATGCAGGAGCGTATTACCACCACCAAGAAGGGTTCCATTACTTCCGTCCAGGCCGTCTACGTCCCTGCTGACGATTTGACTGACCCTGCCCCTGCCACCACCTTCGCTCACTTGGACGCCACCACTGTCTTGTCCCGTGGTATCTCCGAGTTGGGTATCTACCCCGCTGTCGACCCTCTTGACTCCAAGTCTCGTATGCTGGACCCCCGTATTGTCGGCCAGGACCACTACGACACCGCCACCCGCGTCCAGCAGATCCTCCAGGAGTACAAGTCTCTTCAGGATATCATTGCCATTCTGGGTATGGACGAACTTTCTGAGGCTGACAAGCTCACCGTCGAGCGTGCCCGTAAGATCCAGCGTTTCCTGTCCCAGCCCTTCACCGTCGCCCAGGTTTTCACTGGTATCGAGGGTAAGCTCGTTGACCTTAAGGACACCATTGCCTCTTTCAAGGCCATTCTGTCCGGTGAGGGTGATGCCCTTCCTGAGGGTGCCTTCTACATGGTCGGTGACTTCGCCTCTGCTAAGGCGAAGGGTGAGAAGATTCTGGCGGAGCTGGAGAACAACTAAACGACTCCTGACGAAAATACCAATGAGCGTCGAGAGGTGGGCATATAGCCTGTGTATAGAAGAGGAACGATGGAATGGGGAGGTTTCTTAGCTCAATTCAAGTCTCTTTTGTGAGCTGTGTACCAAGAAATCTACTTAATTCCTCTTGTAGTTGAGAGAATCTCCTTATTTCTTCAAACGCCGTCCCGTGCCAAATGTGAGAATACGTCCCCCCGCCCCAGTGATACCTGCCCCTGCAACGTTCTAGGCTGTCACTTCCGTGAGCACCCCGCGCCAATCGATTATGACGTTGGTTAGCCCCCTGCCTCATCGGTGTCTCCCATGCGGGTTCCCCTTCTGGGGTAGAATTGCCCAGGAGCGGATACTGATTATCTCAGGTCTGTCGACCGGACCATTAATTCACTGCCACGACCATTAAACGCTAATCAACCATGAATCTCTAGACTTGATTGAGCCGCTGCTCCAGAGTTAAACGGCCGTTCTTCTGTTATCTGTCGTCTTGTAAACTCCAGATCACCATCAGTACGTGTTACACACGTACAACGCCATCCTCCCTCGACAGTGGTCAAAAAGGATGGACAATCTAGGAATCGAACCTAGGACCTACCCCATGCGAAGGGGTCGTTATACCACTAAACCCATCGCCCGTTTGCCTGCTTTGGAGGCATGATGTTGTGGTGGGAAGCATGGTTGTAGATTGGAATATCAAAGGCGAGCTGATGGGCTTTGAGGGTTGACGCATGGGGTGTAGTTGTGTCTCGCGGGGATGAGTGGCTGAAGTTTGGGCGCGGGTGATTGGTGTTGAAGCCGGGGCTGGGGTGTCACGTTCGGAACGTGTTTTCGTGTGTTGTGGTTTGTGGGAGACGCACTCTGTGTGTGAAGCTGCGTCGTCCTCGATAGATGTCTGGAATGTTGCTAAGTTCTGCATCTGAATTCCGTGTTGTATCTCGGTGGTATTAGGGCCAAGGATCTCTGCTCAGGCGAGGATCGTTGGTGGCAGAGGTGACGTTTGACTGTAGATAAAAGAGCTAGACCAAGTGAGAATGAGCAGGCTTATTGTTTCTAGAAAACCGGATGATGCTCGTCTTTGGGTCTTTGTACGTGTCTAAGTTTGCGAAGAGGGTCATGTGGGTTTCACCATGGTCAAAATTCGCTTCGTTACAGTCGTGTGTTCTATTCGACCAAGGAAGAACACCGGTAAAATAATTGGGTAGAAAAGTCGCGAGAACACGAAATGGACGTCGTGTCGAAAGTGAAGCAGACTCAGAGGACCGCAGCGTGACACAATACAGCTGCGCCGTTTGTTCTTAAGGCTACCTATTCGAAAAAACAAAGTCACCAGAGTTGTATTTGGAGACTACTCGCACGTTATCAGCCGCCTTTTTATAGGATAGAACGAGCAATGCCTATTGTGTCTCTTAGATAAGTCAGGTCAAGGTCCTCCCGCCCGAGGCCATGGATGAATGGTTGAATCTCGAAATGAGTCGATCGTCATGGATGGCAGTCGCGATATCCAAGTCATTACACTGGAGGAGTTGTGTACAATAGCCTGTCATTAAGGACTCATTCGTAAGACTACTATATCTCTTCATTCCCGTACAATTATCATTCATTACACGGCTCGGAGTACTCTTTCATTTTCGACGCCGGTGGCGCCAGTGTACAGGTGTTTTCACATAAAGCTTTCCTGATAAGGGGCTGTTTTTTACGTAGGAAGAGCACCATCAGCGGGCGATTCCATCCCGGGAAAGAATCTCAGACGAGCTACGTTGACTCGAGCTATTATATGTAGATCTGAAGTGCAAAGCTGGGCGCAGTCCAGAGATGTGAATTGCTGAAATATCATAGAAAAGAACCAAGCATACATAGCACTTTCGGAAGATAACTCCCAATCTGTCGACTCACATTCGGGTCACATTCGGGTCACATTCGGGATATATCTTCCTGCACGATTTGGATGGATGTTGCGTCAGGTGAGGCGTTATCCGTCAACATCTGTAGGTCCGTATTCTCAACGATACAGGTACATAGGCTCTTCTGCAACGAGGGCAAAGTGTTGACCTTGCATTTTTCTGTGCGTAAAACTCTAACCAAACACAGGGCATGAACTTTGTGTTGTAGTTGGTTTCCTCGGTAGGTAGGGCTCTTATCTTCTACGATGGCGCTGAGACGTTAGTCTCTTGCATTCCATACTTATTCTTTGAGGAAGGTCTAGATTTTGAGTCAATAATTCATCATTGCGCACGAAGACTTACCTTCGGCAATCAGAGGATGTACTGGATCTCATCGAGATATTATAAAAACAGACAGTTTTCTGCTTCCTACTCGCGAGGCAAACATACTGAGGCTCACGACCTTGTTGTCAAGCTACATATAATTCTATCTGAATTTATCTCACGACTTATCGTTTTATTCCCTTCATTATAGGACTCCTTTCATGATCAAACTGCAAACCAACTGCTTGGCAGTGCTATGGGAGTATTCCCAGGAAATAGGCACTTCAGAACATGATAGACGTCACTGAAAAGAAACCGAGACTAGGTAGCATTATGTGGGAGAAGTATGCGCAGGATCAGCGGGCTGGCTTATACATAGCCTCACCATGGGGCTCCATGCTCGCCATGGCGTAGCATCATAGACCGAGGGAAAGCGGGTGGCAAGAAGTCAACAGTTACCGCCAGAACAAAGTTCATCAAATGGATAGGGCGACCAGAGCCTTTTCAAGTTGATGTACAGCCAGACATGGCAGGCTTTTGTTCCAACCAACGCCCCAGGGATCAATCCCCATACATGATTTCCCAAGCAACGGTTCGTATGTATGATGCCCAGACGATAGTCCATACAGGCCAGATAAATGCCCCAACAGTTCACCCACACACTACAATGGCTGAGGATAGCCTTGGTATCGTAAAGACCGTCAAGAGGAAGGATATCGCAGGAACATAATATGAAATTTCAACATGATTCTGTGCTGAATTGTTCATGTACACATTTTCAACTGAAGAGACGAGGACTCAACACTACCTACGCCGGGGCAATTGTCCTACTGAAAAAGAAAACGATGCAGTCTGATGCTGGCATTTAAATCGATGTCTCTACATCATATGGGTATCAGAAGTCGCATGAACCACTTTCCCTTCTCGGGTCGCCCAAGACCCTTCTCCAAAGTCTCTTCCCGCCGGCGAACCTCTTGTCGCCCACAAGGCCCCCGGTCAAGCTCAACGTAACCAATTATTTCCATCATTATCATGTTTTTCATGGACCTGACCCTATGCAGCCGTCGCTTCTTTTCCGTTTGCCGCCCCGTTTCCATTACCCGCTCCTGTGGCGGGATGGTGTTGTCCAAGACCGAGGACCCTTTGCAGGCTTCTTCTAATGCCCTTACCGGTTCCAGCCTCGTCATGGCCCTCGGTCTTTTCTGCCCTGCCCAAGAAGCCGAAGCTCATTCTACGAACGGCGTTCTGCCCTGCACCATCTGTCGCGGACTTCTTCCTCCGCCGCACAGCGACGATACCAACGTCAGCGGCCGGCTTCGGAGGCCACTCACCGTCTCGCTTCCACCCTACAACACAGGCTCTAATCATGTCTGACAAGTTGACGGGGCATGAGGGCGTCAGGGCGTGTACAATCACCTTCTCGTACAACGAGATGTACACTGAAGGAGTGATGGATGCACGCATTGGGTTTCCGGGAGGAAGCAGGGGCGCGGGAAGAGGAACCAGGGTCTCGACGGGGTACGTCACAGCCGCGGCCGATGCCGCTGACCGTGCGGACTCCTTAGACTTTGACGCAGTGAGCTCTTTGGTGAGCTCGGAGCCATCCGACACAACGGCCGAAGCATCGTTGCTCGGCCGCTGCTGCAGAGAATGAGGCGGCGACGATGGAGACGCACCGAAAGGTGCTGGCGAAGGCTGGGACATTGAGGAGCGGAAGAAGAGGCGGCGGGGCGACAGCGGCGAGAATGTCTGCGTGGGAGAAACGGGTTTGGCGCGAACGCGCACCGTACGTGCGCCTGTCCAGGCATTGCGCCTCGCCTCGAAGCAGGCCAGCCCTTCATTCCACTGCATTTCCTCACGTAGAGCCCGCCTCCGCGCCGTACGCTTCTCGGCGACGGAGGCTTTTACCGCGGCGCCGATCGCATCGGGGCTGTCGAAGCGGAACGGGGAGAGAGACAGTGGGACGGGCTCCTCGTCGGAGAGGTCAGACACCCATTCCAAGCGAGGCTTGAAGCGTGCCGGGTCTTCTGAGACGGTGCTGTAGACGGACTCGGCATCGCTGTCTGAGAACCCCCCTTCCTCGTCGTCGTCGTCACTGCTGTCCATGCTTTCGACTGCCACATCGTCGTCATTCGTCGCCGTCTGCGTCGCTTCGGGCTTGGGCTCGGCGGTCTCTTGAGTCTGTTCTACGGGTGCTTGTACGGGCGCATCAGCCTCGGTTGCTGGCGCTGGCGTCGGTTTTGGTGCAGCCACAGCATCGCCGTTCTGTTTTGGGGGTGGGATGACTGGTGGCCAGGCAAACTCCCAGTCGTTGCGGATCTTGGAGGCAAGGTACTTCTTAACTGCCTCCTTCTGCTTGACCTTATCCTTGCTCAGGAGGTCTGGGTCGTAGTCGGGCAAGTCCAGCGTCAAGGGCTGCTGGGACATGGAGTGCCTGAACTTGGCGAGAGGCGAGCGTGGGGACTTGTAAATGTCTGAGAAGATCATCTTGGTGGTGGACGATGAAGAGGCAGCGGTGGTGTGCTGTGGCTGGCTCTTTGGCTGGGTGTTGGCCTCAGGCGCAGCAAGAGAGGAGGATGGAGGGGGGGAGGAAGAAGTAGGCATGGGAGGCGACAGGTCTGGCTGGGAGCAGGGCGTCTGCTTTATTATATCGGGATGCGCAAGTGAAGCTCCCGGTCCAGCAGCCGTGACCGGGGATGTAGTAATAGTTACCGCAGCTGGAGTAGTGGCAGCTGGGTCTGGAGTAGCAGCGGTCTCCGTCGCAGTCGCGTGCGGGGTGGGCTGGTGGTGCGGGTGATGGAGCGCGCCGGTTTCTGGGGTGGTGGCCGCGGCCGCGGGTGGCCTGATGGTGGCTGCCAAGGGGGCTGGATTTGGTCAGTTTATAATTCCGTCATATGTAGAATAAACAGGCCTGGTCGATGTTTGTGCAGCGAAGTATGTGTTGTGCACCTAGAAATCATGCATTGAAAGTCTGGGGCATCGGATGAATAAGAAGAGAAAAGCAAGGCGAGGGGAAGAAACAGGAGCGGAAAGCGAGACAGTCAAGAGGGGGGATGCGAAGTGCGTGCCACTCTCAGGCATCGTGTAAGGCAAATGGCTGTTGGGGAAGCAAGGTAGTAGGTGTGTACGTTTTGTGTGCGTGTGTGTTGCGTGTGTTATGGCGGGCGTATGGCAAGGTAGCCAAGCCCGGTCCAGAACCTTGACCTCTTCTGCGTCGTCGAGCGTCTCCCGTCAGTTTTCCCTGAAGGTAGGTTCTTCTTTGCGTCGGGTGCCCGTATGTAGATAGGTAGGTATGGGGAAGGAGAATGCGGGTGGATGCAGAACAAGAGGAAGAAAGGCCGCATACATGAGAACAAAAGGAAGCAGCCCGGGGGAGGGGAGGGAAGGCAAAAGCGACAAAGCGAGGCTAGCGGCCCTGTGCCCGGTGTGGTGTCTCTCACCTACCTACCTTGATCTGATGTACGAGAAGCGGTGTCGTTGGCGTTGGCCTTGTCGCCGCCGGGGGGAGACGCAGCATCTTGGCCGGACCTGGACATGGATGCAACAGCTGAAGGATCTGCCGTCGCTTCTGCTGCTGCTGCTGCTTTTGCTGTTACTGCTGCTGCTTTTGCTATTACTGCTGCTTGAGCCATTGACGCTCCAACCGACGATGTAGATGCTATGGTTTTGGCTGCTACTTCTCGTGCTCACTTTTTTTTCCCTCCTTCCTCTCACAAAACTAGAAGAAACTAAAAAGCTGCCCAATGGCAAGCACAAACCGCCTGGCCCCCCAGTTCGTGAGGGCCATTTTTTCTTCGGGGCGGGCACAGGGTTCCATCACTAAAACGTCGGATGCGCCTCTGTGGCGGCTGTCTGAGCCGGTGAGATGAGAAGCAGAGGTGTCCCCGCTGCTGAGCCCGCTCTGCCCTGCCATTGCGCACCTTCAAAGTATCGAGCATCAGAACATTCTGGAGGGGGTCGGTTGCCCTCTCGTGGTTTAAGGTTCGCCATAGAGGGAACCCGAGGCTTAGCAGGTTCAAAGTATTCGTAACCAGGAAGCAATCCGAAGTGTTGAATTGTCAGGCCAATGAAGTGCGGCAGTCTGTGGCTCCTGGTGTCTCTGTCTTTCCGTGACTCTTCTCTCAAGCCCAGGCCCTCTCCGAGTTAAGGTAGGGTAGAGGACGGGGAACACTGGAGACAACTGGAGAGCGCACGAGGGCAAAGTGGGGAGAGATGGGCAATGCTCCCGTCCACGAGACATGCCATGTCTGCAAAAACTTTGCCTTTGCAAGTGACTGACTGCGCTCCTCTCTCGTGATCGGACTCCGGCCAAGACGCATCGAAGGCTCCATGACCACGACGGCTCAGCCTGCCGCGCTCGGAGTCTTGTAGGAAGTGCTTCAGATCCTTCGGTACCTGACGACGCCCAGATGAAGGAATCCTGTCTGTCGTCGCCGCCGCCTGTCACTTGCTTAGCACAGACAATGGACAAACCGCCCTAACGCAGTCCCAATCCGTCCAGACCACTGCCCGGCTTGCCAGTGACAGATCTAAAGGAGGGAACAACATAGTCTCGCGAGCTAGACCCCAAGAAGAGTGTTGCCGCCTCCGGTGTCGATATTCCCGGCGAGCTGCAGCAAGGTCCCCTTCTCGCCTGCTTTGCCAGCCAACCTCACATGCTACCACGGCTGCCAACCATTAGGCTCCCCCCGCCCGGATTCTTGCAGGGTGCAGATCCGGGGTTTTTGGTTGGATGGCTGGCCCTGGGGGTTTGAAGGATGCGTGGATGGAGCGTGTTTGGCCCAGTAGGGACGAACTGTACTCAGCACAAAGTACCAATCTCACCAACACGATCACGAATTATACACCTGGATACCTGTTCTCGGAACTCATCCATGCTGACCACGAGAAGGGGAACATGACGCTCTCAACGGATTGATTACCAATACGGAATTGGGCTGAGTGGTTTCCCACAACAATGCGATAACGGCGTGGAGCGCCCGTCTCTTACCCTAGCTTGCGTGTCCGAGATCTTCTCGTCGCCTACTCAATCTATGCTCGACCGTGCCGGCATCGCACCACTCCCACATATCGGTGCTCAACACCCACGATCCCGCAGGCGAGATACAGCCCACGACAAAATGATGACAAGCAGACCAACGAGGGGCAGCCAATGGCATGGCCCTGCACAGCAATGCTCTCTGTGATTCGGAACCGGACTGGGAGAATGATCGTCACGGCCATTGACAAAGGCAACTGTCGCGGACTTGGCTGCCACCGGCAGGGTGCCCACCACCACTAATACAACCAGCAGTAGCAGCAATAGCAGATGAAATGTTGTTTCCGATCGAAGGCCAGAGGAACTGCGGAGAACAGGAATAAACAAGCTCCTGCGAGTGACAGGCCCGCGCCCGCGCACCACATAACTTGTCCTCCAATTGGCAATGCAGGGTCCTTGGTGTGTTGCAATTTTGCTACAGTGCCTATGTGCCCCGATGTGTTGATTACATAAGACATCTCGGCCGACACTGTCACGTCACCCCACAGCCATCATCAGTCGAAAGGGCATTAAGAGCCGACGGCCATCTCCGAGGTTCTCAGGCATCGACCTGTGGGTACTCGTTAGTGAAGCAACTATGACAATCACCCACGTGAGCGATTTAGTTTGCGACTTGCGCATGCCGGTTAGACATGCGGGACGGATGATGGCCGGCGCAGATTTATGCCAATTAACCAATTCTGTCTAGAGACCTGAGAACCATTACCAGCTTCTGCTGATCTACCTATGTGCTGCGTACGATAACAGTCTTCGCCCAACGCCGTTGTTGTCAGATACAAGTGCTCCGTGTTTTTATGATGAGTTTTCTCTTAGTCGTGAAGACTGGCGCGGGCCGTCGTCCTAGGCGACTTCCTCGACCATCTTTCCGGACTTGAGTCCTCCAGGAACAAACACTTTGCCCGCCGGTCCGCCGATCATCTCCTCCGGCACGGCAACAATGCTGCCCTTCTTGGAGTTGACCCAGCGGACGAAAGCTACATCTGCCTTTGGGGGCTCGTTGCTGGGAGTATCGTTGCCAGCGGCCTGACCTTTGCCCTTGGTCTTGGGTGCCTGCTTCTTTAGAAGCTTGTTGATGGTTTCCATCTATGCTTGCATTAGCTCTCGCGCTCGAATACTATTTCAATATCAGGGAAAATAAAGCATGTTACCTTGACTTCTTCGTTGCGCTTCTCAGACAAGTTGCGTCGACGACGAGCCATTTCCGCTCTTCTCATGGAAAGCTCCTCCGCTGTGAAGACCTTCTTTGCTTGAACCTCTGTTACACAGTTAGCGCGTTTCCTCGATCTCATCAGTAGGCATATGAATTACCATCCGAGAGCTTCATATACTGCTGAGGCTCTTCCTCAAAACGAGCACGTTGTCTCCTCGTCATCTTGGTCAAGTCCGGCGTTCCCTCTCGGCTGCCAAGTTCGCTGTCTTCCTCACCCTCGGCATCTGCGACCTGAGTTTCGTCGGCAACTTCGATCTCCTCCTCCTCACCTTCGGCATCCTCTTCCTCACCCTCGGCGTCCTCTTCTTCGCCCTCAGCGTCTTCCTCTTCGTCTTCTTCGTCCTCCTCATCGTCATCATCACCGGCGCCTCCAACGTCGATGCTCATGTCCATCGTGTTCTCCGGGTCACTGACTTCAATCTCACTCAACTCCTCCTCATCGTCGTCGTCATCGTCCTCGATAACTCTCGCCGCCGCCGGTCGCCGAGGCGTAACCTTACCAGCTTTCGGCAATGAGATTTTGATCGTGGAAGCCGCAGGGGTGTCCATGTCAGCGTCGCCATCGGCATCGTCTTCACCCTCGGCGTCGACATCCATGTCGTCCTCATCGCCATCGGCGTCCTCATCGTTGGGGTCCTCCATCTCCTCGTCCTCTTCCTCTTCCTCCTCACTGTCGGACTCAACAACGTAGCTCTTCTTGGGACCACGGTTGCGTTTTCCAGCAATGATCTCGCTGCCTCCAAACGAGCCCCGGCTGTTCACAGAGATGCTGTTTCCGGTGGAATTCCTGCCTCTGCTGGTTGCCTCACGTAGCTTATTCGCGGGAACTTTGACGGTAAGGTTGAGGTGCTCACTGCCCGGCGACGAGGGCGGGCCGCGAGACACACCGGAGGTGCGACCCTCTGAGCGGCGAGCGCGGGTGGACATATTGCTGCTTCGTTCGCTGTCGGCCCAGTCAACGAGTGCTTCGGAAGCCTTCTTGGCCGCTGAGCGGCGCGGTCGAGAAGCCATGGTGTGTGATGGTCAAGGATATATGAAGCGCGTTTGCGGATTGCTTGGCACGGGGGGATGTGGCTTAATGTGAGTGTTGTTGCGCTTGCGGGCTGGGTGAAGTGTGATGGAGAAAGGGATTTGGGGGGTAGGCATGCAACGGTGGTGTTTTTGGGACGATCGGTGGGGGATTTTCCCAAGATTGCGAACGTGGGAGGTTGAAATAAGGTAAGCTCGGGGGGCGGAAGTCCAGACAAGGAAGGGTTAAAGGTGAGGTGGCACTGCTGCTAGGAATCTGATCCCCTAGATACGGGAGATGAGGTAAGGCAACGTCCTTAGCAGCGGTAGTAGTGGCAGGCCGAGATGCATGGGAAGTTATTAAAGCGTGCGACTTGCGGTAAGTTTACACCTTTTTTTAAACCGTCCACGTGCGGGCGCTTTTTTGTTTTTTCGCCTTGTTTTTTGCTTCTGCTGGCCGGCTACTTTCCATCAACCTCTCTGGATCAAATCAAGTTGCATTCTTGGCGCGCAGAGTGCCGTGCGTGTACCTTGCTCTCCTTGAAGATGTTGGTTTTGGGCCTCGAGGTAATTTGCCGTTTGTTTGCCTCACTTGAGTTGGCAAACTTGCCTCAAGAACAATGTGATATGTGATGAAGTGATGGTGTTGACAATAGATGCAGCGCAGAGAAAAGGTTCAAGTCGAAACAAATGTCGCAATTGCGATAGAGATGATGGCTTACCGATTGTTGATACCCCTTCCCGGAATAGATGATAGACGACGGCTAGCCGCAGAATACGCGCAGCGGCAAGTGGAATAATTCGCCCTTCTTCCCCTTTGGTGGCCTATCGCCTCTCGGAGCAGGACCCAAGCACGACAAGGCAAGGTACAGAGCAGTAAAGTAAGAAGCGGTGGCTGTGAACCAAGCCAAGATGGGCAGAAAACAGGACCCCCTGAACTGAGACTTTCTGGCTATTGGATCTCGTGTCGCCTCCCGCGTCGCTACTCTGCGTTTTTCTCTCCCTCTCAGCGCCTCAATGTCTTGCGCGCTTCGAGAGTCTGTCCCCTTTAGCGAATCCACTCGCTGCAAGTCCCCTTTCGAAGGGTTGTAACGCAGCAGATGAGAGCTTACCTTGATTGACTGTGGCTGGAATTGGTTGCTGGGTCTGCCAATCGCTCGGTCGGTGAAGCAAAGCGTCGAGCGGAATGGTCAGAGATCGTCGGTGACAGGAGAGCGACCAAATCGGGTGATGTCCTGGGTTGCTGAAACAATAGATACCTCGAGCGATGAACAATACTT